TATTACACCATTTTTCACTTAAAGTCAATTATGTTATGCTCTCTTCTCCCAATAAAATCAATTAATGACTAAAACTGAAAAACTCAAAAGTAACAGCTTAAGATTAAAAATTTTGAGATAAATCAATGATCGAAGCAAATATTGCGATAACATACATTGTGTTTGTAGACGTTTTATTATTTATTTATTTCAATCCTCTTCAATACATACGTGTATTTTATATTAAGTTGCATGCATTTTGTATTTCTGGAGTTACACAGATGAGTAAAAGGTGTGCACCAAACTTTTCAATGAGCACCACTTATACATTTTTGCAATTAAATTTAATGCATACACAATCAGATTTTTTTTTATGTGGGGCATTCTTGGAGGTCAAGAAAAGGCTGTGTTGTTTAAACCCACAATACATCCAGAAAACTTTACTTTATCTTCACCAAAAGATGATGTGGTTGAAGAAATTACAAAAAGATTAAACCAGTTATCCATGAAGGATAAAGGAAAGGATAAAGATTTATATCCATTAACAGTTAAATCCTCGTCTGATAACGATTCATCAGATGAGCGACCAGATCAAGAACTTTTACATCTGGAACAAACTCTGAAATCCGTTAATGAAATTAACAAAATTACATATCCCAGAGCACGGGGAATGGTCGATATCAAACCATATTATCCTAGACCGTCGCTTAAACAAAATTTTACATATCCCAGTACGCACGGGGCAATGGTTCGTCAAACCATTCTTATCCTAACGTTCGCCTAGTTTGGAGGTCAAGAAAAGGCTGTGTTGTTTAAACCCACAATACATCCAGAAAACTTTACTTTATCTTCACCAAAAGATGATGTGGTTGAAGAAATTACAAAAAGATTAAACCAGTTATCCATGAAAGATAAAGGAAAGGATAAAGATTTATATCCATTAACAGTTAAATCCTCGTCTGATAACGATTCATTAGATGAGCGACCAGATCAAGAACTTTTACATCTGGAACAAACTCTGAAATCCGTTAATGAAATTAACAAAATTACATATCCCAGAGCACGGGGAATGGTCGATATCAAACCATATTATCCTAGACCGTCGCCTGTGAATATGCAATATGAAGATCCTTCATTCAACTATGTCCAATATGATGGGCAATCATTAGTGGAATGGAATATAGATGGTCTATCTGATTATCAGATAAAAAATGTTTTACAATACATGACCATGTATGCAACAGCCTGTCGAATTCGAGGAAACTCGGATAAAGAAATTAAAAAAGCTATAGTTGCAGGATTCGTAGGCCAACTCAAAGGTTGGTGGGATTTTGCTCTAACCCAAGAGGGTAAAGATCAAATTGAAAATGCTGTTATCATGGAAGAATATAAAGATGAACAGCAACAAACACGTCATAGAGAAGTACCACAAGCGGTAAATACCCTTCTCTATACGATAGGATTACATTTTATTGGTCCAACATCTATGCAAACTGAAAGGACCCATGAACAGCTAATGAATTTACGCTGTCCTGATATGTCACACTTTAAATGGTACAAAGACGTCTTTTTGACCGCTGTACTAGTTAGAGAAGACAGTCAGTTTGATTTTTGGAAGGAAAAATTTATATCTGGCCTTCCTCTTTTATTTGCTGAACGTGTCCGTACTAGACTTAGGGATAAAAACAATGGTATAATCCCATATAATACCTATACATATGGAGAGCTAGCATCAGAAGTAGTAGCAGAAGGATTAGCCTTATGTAATGAAATAAAAATACATAGGCAAATGGAAAAAGAAAAACAGTCAGGAAAAAGAATCTTAGGCACTTTCTGTGAACAATTTGGGTACGAACCTATTTGGAAAACTAGCTCTAGTTCTCATAAAGAAAAATATAGAAAGTCATGGAAACCTAGACGAAAGCATAGGTTTGAAAAGGCTCCTAAAAAAGAACATAGGGAAAAACCTAAATCTAGTAAAACCCATAAGACTAGAAAAGATAAATCACAAATAGCCTGTTATCGGTGTGGCAGAGTAGGACATTATGCTAATAAGTGTCATATGAAACAACAAATACAAGCTCTCACCATCGATGAAGAGCTAAAGAAATCGTTAAAAAAATTATTTATTAATGAAACTGATTCAGACGAAGATAATACAATTAATGCTATTGATTATACGTCTGAAGATTCAGAACGAGAAGAGTCGTCTAAAGAAAAAGACACTTGTGAAGGACAGTGTGATTATTATAAATCACTCTGTGTTATGAATGGCCTTTATGTTCTCACAAAAAAGGATTCTCTCATCCTTGATTTAATCGATCAACTTCCAGATGAGAAAAGAAAAAGAGAACAATTAGAAAACTATCTTTCTTTACAAAACGATAGGCCATCATCCTCAGCACAACCTCTTCTAAAGAAAGTAGAAGAGACAACACAACCCTATTATGATATTAAAGCTATCTTTGATAAGCTTAAAATCGCAAAGGCTAAACGTGAGCCTACGCTTCAAGAATTACGAAGCGAAATAAATCAAGTAAAGACAGAATTACAACAATTAAGAGATAGAGTTGTCTTTCTTGAATTATTAAATAAAGATGAGCTTGAGTTTAATGAAGAACAAACTCTTACTGCTCCAAATAATGATCTTCAATATGTGAATTTAGTAGACCGGGTCATTACCCAGAAATGGCATACTAAAGTCACTATTGTTGTCCATAAAGAATATATCTTTGATACAATTGCCTTAATCGATTCAGGCGCTGATCTGAATTGTATTAATGAAGGCTTAGTACCATCCCGATATTTTGAAAAAACAGTTGAAGAATTAAATACGGCTGATGGTAGTAAAATGGGAGTTAAATATAAACTCCAAAATACTGCAATATGTAACAAAGGGATTTGCTTTCAATTACCATTTATCATGGTAAAAGGATTATCTCATTCAGTAATTCTTGGTAACCCTTTTTTACATATGCTATACCCGATTAAACAAATATCGGAAAAAGGAATTGTTACTGAACTCGAAGGTCAAGACATTATCTTCGAATTTTTTACTCAACCACGTATTAAAGAAATAGATGTGGTAAAAACCACAATGAAAAATAAAAATCATTTTATTAATTCTTTATCTACAGAAATTAAGCTAAAAGAGCTAAAAAAGAAACTAGATACCCAATATTATTTACCGATTAAAGAAATACACACAAAAATAGAATCGACAATATGTTCTGACAATCCAATAGCGTTTTGGGCCAGAAAGAAACATGTAGTTACTTTGCCCTATGAACCCGATTTTCAGGAACAGAACGTTCCCACTAAGGCCCGGCCCATTGCGATGGGGCCTCGCCATCTTGAAATATGCAAAACAGAAATTGAATCTCTGTTAAAGAAAGGGCTAATAAGGCCTAGCCAAAGCCCATGGAGCTGTGCTGACTTTTATGTGGAAAATAATGCAGAATTGGAACGTGGTGTTCCAAGACTTGTCATTAATTACAAGCCACTTAATAAGGCATTACGCTGGATTAGATATCCATTACCCAATAAAAGAGATTTATTAAATAGACTTTACTCTGCTAATATCTTCTTAAAATTTGATATGAAGTCTGGATATTGGCAGATACAAATAAATGAGCAAGACCGATATAAAACTGCTTTTATAGTTCCATTTGGACAATACGAATGGAATGTAATGCCGTTCGGTCTAAAGAATGCTCCCTCTGAATTCCAAATAAATGAAACGGAGGAAATAACAAATAAAAATGAATAATGACATAAAAAATTAAACGAGCAGTAAATGTGCAACTTCAGGTTATAAAGAGACTAATATTTCTTAAAAGTGTAAATAATTACCGCAACAACACGCAGACAAAATTAGCTTGTGCAACCTAAAATGCATGGAATGAAATTCTCAAAAATCACGTCCATTCTATCATAAATGAGGAAAAATTGTGAATCTATGTATTGTTATTACTTATCACTTATCTAGTTAATTCTTAATTAGATTAAGTTAAAAAAAAAAAGTTATAATCTACCAACATTTGATAGATTGTATCTTTGTGAATTAGTTTTTTAAAATCGAATTGCTAAATTAATTTAACATTCTAAATTAATATAAATTAATTATTATTTATATACTTGTCAATTTTTAAATTATTCATTTCAGAAAAAAATATATGATATATAATATGGTAATGAACTAACTTGCTGGTTGTGCGGTTTTCATCTAGTTAGTTAATATATTATCGTGTCCAAACTTATAAATTTTTTCTACATTGGCATCAAAAATGAAAATAAATTATACTTAAGTCTCTAAACTAATTATTTTTATATAATTAAGTGTACTAGCCTAATTATTTTTATATAATTAAGTGTACTAGCAGGAAGATGCCATAAAATAAAAATATAGAAAAAAATTATGAATTGAATGAATATTTATTTTTGGCATTATTTGTTGAGTAAAATAGTTTATTTTTATTTTCTGACAAAATAATTCAGCTAAATACATATAATAACTTTTTTTAATAATTTAGTCACTCAATTATAATTTTTTTTTCTTCATAAATCGAAATGAAAAAAACCGAAAAATTCATGCCATAAATATAATTAATCCACCTTTCTAAAATAAAAACGGACCGAGGAAGTAAATAATTATTATGGCTGTATTCAGCAAAAAATTTTCAGCTAGCTTCTAACATTTTGACTAGTCAAAATGTTAGATACTATTTTTTATAGTATTCGACAATATATAACGTTTAGATTATTAGAGATTTAGATAAATTTTATAAAAAATTAACTCACGTAACTTAAATTTTTGATGTTTTATAAAAAATAATTTAAACAGTTAACAGTTGAATAACTGTTAAATAATTAATTTTGCCAAATATACTCGCTTCGTATTTGACTGTAATAGTTATTACATTTACTTGCCACTCTCGCACGTGTTTGACATGTAATTTTTATATGGTTGGATGGTTAGGTACGTCTGCGTGTATACAAAGCGGTGGTGGAAATTTCAAAGTCTTGCTATGCAAAAGAGGACAACGAAAGGGATCTTTAGAATCTCTTTTCTACGCTTTACATCGCTAAACGACATAATCCTCACTTGGCCTTCACTTTTCTTGTTTTTATCTTCAGTTTCAAACCTGCAAGCGGACTTGCAGATATGAGTTTAATCAAAGCAGCCATGGCAGATTCAATTTTAACCACCATGTGGGTCTTTAGCCTGCCATTTCTCGGCATTTTCACTTCCATTATAGCATCAAATATAGGCGTTGAACCCAAATCAATACCAGCCCTTTTCATAGCTATAAATATTGCCACTCCTTTTGTTCTAATTTTCAGCCTGATCGGCGCCGCGTTAGGAGGTGCCAGTTTCAACCCAACAACCACCGTATCATTATATGCCGCGGGGCTTAAGCCAGATGTGTCTTTAATATCCATGGCGATCCGGTTTCCTGCTCAGGCGGCTGGTGGAGTTTTTGGAGCCAAAGCAATTTTGCAATTTATGCCAATAAAATATAAAAATTTCCTGAAGGGTCCTTCTTTGAAAGTGGATTTGCATACAGGTGCAACTGCAGAAGGGGTTTTGAGTTTTGTGTTTTGCCTTTTTTTGCTTATTGTTTTGGTTAAAGGGCCCAAGAATTTTTTGGTCAAGGTCTGGTTGCTGGCGGTGGCGACGGTGGGTTTGGTGGTTACCGGCGGGAAATATACAGGGCCTTCCTTAAACCCTGCTAATGCTTATGGATGGGCTTATATGAACAATTGGCATAATAGTTGGGAGTTGTTTTATGTGTATTGGATTTGCCCTTTGATTGGAGCAACTTTGGCTGCTTGGGTTTTCCGTTTACTATTTAGCTTTAGCCCTCCTGTTGTCAAGCCTAAGCAAGCTTGAAAAGAAGGGCATATTAATGATAGTGATAGCTCTCTCTCTCCTCTCTCTCTCTCTCTTTTTCCACACAGCACCAAATCAAACCGTGCTCATCCCTGTACGTTAGCATTCAAATGTTGCTGGAAATGTATCCTCTTAGGTGCATTTCAACAAAACACAATATGTGCAATCAAATAAAGCCTATAATCATCACTTAACACTTGCGATACTTTTGCTACCAATCAGGTCATCACATGCCATTAAGTACAGATGATAAGCTAAATGTTGAATTCATTTAAGCTAAATTACGTAGTGTAACGTGTATTAGAGAAATAAACTCTTTCACACGTTTTATCAAACACTCGATATACATAGAGCAACAGACGTTTGATAACCCCAAGGCCAAAAAAAGCAACCTATCTCCTTACACTTTTCTTCAACAGGCCAAAACAGAGCTTTGAGAGGTGAAAACCAATTAGGGAATTTCATTAACAAAGCCACATTGGATTATTTATTTTGTGTAATGTGATCACCATGTCCACGTGGACAGCCCTCAATTAATAAAATTTTTCTTTCGCACGTTAAAATTAAAAAAAAATAAAAAATTGACATCAAATTTATAATTAATCGTTCTAAATATCCACTTAGAATCGCTTCTAAATTCCTCCACGTCTCTCTCGTTTTTTAAAGGTTTGTGGAAAGAGCAAGTAATGCTAAAAAAATACAACCAGGGCCAGTACTTCTGATAAAGCATCGGAATAGAGAACTCCAAAAAGCCTAAACAACAAATAAAAAGAAACAAAAATTCTTAAAAGAAAACTGTATTTTTTGTTTGTTTATATCACTAATCTCTTATTCGCTGCCTTCTTTTCTTCTTTCTCTGATTGCTCTGTACTGCCCTGGACAAGCATTTCTGTTTTCCTCTGAAGAGAAGAAACGGAGATGGGTTTGATCAGAGTAGCCATGGCAGATGCAATTTTAACATCTCTATGGGTATTTAGCGTGCCAATACTGCGCGTTTTAACCACCATTATAGCATCAACTGTAGGCGTTGAACCAAAATCATTATCAGGTCTTTTCATATCAATAAACCTATCCACTTCTTTTATGCTAATATTTATTCTAGTAGGCGCTGCATTAGGCGGTGCTAGTTACAATCCCACCACGACTGTCTCCTTATACGCCGCCGGACTTAAACCAAGTGGATCCCTCTCTCTAAAAACCATGGCAGTCCGATTTCCAGCTCAGGCAGCCGGCGGAGTTGTCGGCGTCAAAGCAATATTACAGGCGATGCCAAGAACGTATAGGAATTTGCTAAAAGGTCCTTCTTTGAAAGTGGATTTACATACAGGAGGATTAGCAGAAGGGATTTTGAGTTTTGGGCTTTGTTTTTCTTTGCTTTTGGTTATGGTCAGAGGACCAAAGAATTTGTGGGTGAAGATTTGGTTGGTGAAGGCGGCGACGGCTGGATTGGTGGTGATCGGCGGTAAGTATACTGGGCCTTGTATGAATCCTGCAAATGCATATGGATGGGCTTATGCAAATAATTGGCATAATAGTTGGGATTTGTTCTATGTTTATTGGATTTGCCCTTTAATTGGAGCTACTTCGGCTGCTTGGGTTTTTCGTTTCTTGTTTAATCCTACTATTAACCCTAAGCCTAAGCAAGCATGAAAGTGAAGCCCTAATATAATTAATTAATTATTAATGCTGAAAATAATTTTTTTTGAGGACAATGCTGAAAATAATAATTTGACTAGTAATGTTACAATTTGCTCAATTGCACTTGTGTATATGTTATATTTCATTATGTAGTTTTATTCTTTTAATTTTGTCCAATAGATAGATGTTTAAGAGTGGATGAAAATGAATTGAAAGTATGAGGAATAGAGGTTGGCTGATTTTTGTTTTGGAGGTGGTTAATCATTTAATCTATATTAATTTCACTAGTTTTGATGGGAGAGTTTCAAAAAAAAAAAAAGATTTGGTGGGTTTTTATTTTTTTATAATTTTTAAAGGATTGAAATTTAACTATTTTTGTTATATTATTTTTGTTTTTATATTTTTTTATTGTACGTTAGGCGTTGCTACGAGGAGATTCAAATTTAAATTTATTGACTATTTTTGAGATTCAAATTTAAATTTATTGACTATTTTTAAAATTCAAATGTTAGTTTCATTTATACCATATAATTTATATTTCATATTAGTTTGTTATTAAAAATTTTATTGATTTTTTTTTTCAGAAGAAAAATTTTATTGAACTAATGCTTACATTTGTACGATGGAATTATATATGTTTTTTTATATCAGTTCCGATCACGATTTTCGGCGATATATATATTTAAATTGACTATTTTTGAGATTCAATTTAATTATTGACTATTTTTTAAAATTCAAATTTGTTAGTTTCTTTGATACCAATAATTATACTTTCATATTAAGTTTTATTTAAAATTTTTATTTGATATTTTGTTTTTCAGAAGAGAAAGAATTTTATTGAATGAATGCTAATTGTACGATGGCAATTATTATATATGTTTTTTATCTCAGTTCCGATACGATTTCGGCGATTATTAATATTTAAAAAATGGTTTTTTTTTTCTTTTAACTTATATTTTTCTTTTGAAATATTTAATTTGAATTTAAAAAAATATTGGTAAAATTTTATTTTAATAAAATTTTAGAGATGGCTTTAGCTCATATAAGGAATAAAAATTAATTATTTGGACAACAGTAGATTTAAACAGTAAGTTATCACTTTATTTGTTAAATTTTATTAATTAATTAATTATTAAGAAAAATTTTTGAAAATTGCTTCAAGATGTTAAGTTTTTAAACTTTAGTAAGCATCTTTAAAGGCTAAAAAAAAAAAGTAAATACACAATTATAAATTTAGACTAAATATTTTCTTTTTTTTTTTTTTACCATTTTACTAAACAATATAAATTTAGACTAAATATTTCTTTTTTTTTTTTTACCATTTTACTTTTTAGATTTTTAACTTTTAAAGTAAAGTGTATTTTTTTCAAAAAAAATCTTAAGTTAAAGTATATCATGTAGTAAAATATTATTGAGACTTTTAGAGATGTATAAAATAGGCTAAGTAATTATTATTTGAAAATAAAAATTGAAAATTTTCGATTCGAATCGGACTGAAACTGCCGGTTTAGATTCAGATTTTAACATTCACATAAACTTTAATCGGCCTTTGAACCGCCGATTCTGGTTTAAAATTTTGAATCGACAGTTCCGTTTTGATTCCGATTCATCTACGGTACAGTTCGTTTCGAATTATTTAATAATTTTAAAAATTGGAGCATTCCAGGTGTTAAAGTAAAAATGAGATGCAATTAATACAATGGGCAAAGTTGAGATATTTTATACGAATTGCTCTTAAATTATAATAAACTCTATGAGAGTTTCAGTTGGAAATCATTTATTATGGGTCTAAAAAACCCAAAAATTATATGCTCCTTTGAAAATTCTGCTGTACATTAACCAAAACAATGACATTCACCTTATATTATAATTTTTTAATGGAACATAAGTGAATTCTTAAATTCTTTTATTTTAAGACAACTCCAATATCAATTCCCTTTTTCTTTTTTTTTTTTTTTTTATAGGCACCAATCGAAAATATTTACTTTCCAAACGAACTTTTTATGTAACATATTAAATCAATGTTTTACAATATTAAATTTATGCTTTATGCATCTCGAGAAATTTGTAAAATAAGAAAAAACTCCTTATTGTGCATTCTAGACTATTAAGAAATGTAGCTATAAATTTTTTATAATTTTCGAATTATTAGGCAATACATTACATTTACCATTATTACAATTTATAATTATGTGTTACCTCCTGTTTCTTCAGTTTTGGTCTATTTCACTTTCCATATCAAACTGCTCGCCCCCAACCGACCACATCCCCCCCGACGCGCAAACGGAAAAGTTCTTCCCTATTTGTTAATACTGATGTATTGTTTTTTCAATTCTTCTTTGATATAGAACACGATGGACCATATATATATACTCCGCAACTTCTTTAGAGTTAATTCCCGTCTAGGAAAATGTGTTATAGTACACTCCATGTCTCCCAGCGCGATGTTGGCTCATTTGCAGAGAGTTTTCAGATTTCAACTCTTTACTATTGTATATTTTCCTCTTCACATCTTATCTTTTTCTGCATAATTAAATCTTTGGAACCAATTTAATATAATTCCAATTAATTAATATATTTTACATTTATTTTCGTAGAATTTTATCAAGGAGGCAAAAGAAAGTTTTTGCTCTTTCTTTTAAAAGATTATCATCCAGGTTTAGGCTTCCCCTACTGTTCTATCTTAATGATAAATAATATTAACTAATATTTATTCCTTTCAAAAAAAGAATATTAATATTCCCTAACCTCTGTTTGTTTCCACCGTAAAATAACTTACAGAAAATAATACATTTGCTAATATTTTATGCACTTACTCTCGTGAACAACATATTTTGCAATGACTATTTATACAGTTGTATTCGCCCTTTACATATTGAAAATTAAGTCTACACGCATACATACATCTTTTATATCATAAACGCATTATAGGCACCAATCGAAAATATTTACTTTCCAAACGAACTTTTTATGTAACATATTAAATCAATGTTTTATGCAATCGAGAAATTTGTAAATAAGAAAAAACTCCTTAATTGTGAATTAAGAGACTATTAAATGTAGCTATATTTTTTTAATTTTCTAATAATTTTAGAAAATAATTTACAATTATAAAATATACATATAATTATGATAAGCTCCCCTGTCTTGTTTTGTCTTTTTCCTTTCCATTAGTCAAAAACTGCTGACTCACACCGACACTCCGACAGAGCAAAACGGGAAAAGTTTCCTATTTGTTAATTCAAATGAGTTTTTTTTTTTCTTGTATAGATAAACGATGGATAATATATACTGAAAATTTTTAAAAAGTTAATCCGTCCCTAGAAATGTGTTATTGTACGCTTCTGATTAGAAAACGTTTGTTGCTCTTTGCAAGATTTTCAATTTTCAATTTTTATTGTATATTTTTTTAATTTATTTATTTTTGATAATTTTAATCTTTGAAAATTTAATATAATTCATTAATTTAATATATTTAATTATTTTCGTAGAATTTATCAAGGGAGCAAAGAAGTTTTTGCTCTTTCTTTTAAAAAGATTATTTCATCTTAGGTTATGGCTTCACCCCTATATACAGTTATACTTATTTGATAATAATAATTACTAATATTTATTCCTTTCAAAAAAAAATATTAATATTTAACCTCTGTTTGTTTCCGTAAAATAACTTACAGGAAAATAATTTGCTAAAAATATTTTTATGAAAAACATTTTCGTTGAAAAATATTTTGCAAATGACTTATTTTCCGTTGTTTGGTTGTAATATTGAAAATTAGTTAAAAGTCATAATTTTTTATATCATAAAACCATGAAAAATATTAATAATAATTGAAATTTTATAAAATAAAATGTTTTATTCTCTTGAAAATGAGAAATTTTCCTTAAAAAATAATTTAATTTTTCTTTGACCAAAAAAATATTTTTCATTGATTTATTTTTTTGAACATCTCAAATAATTTAAAATGTAAAAAATATTTTCCTTTAAAATAAAATTATTTACAAAAACAAATAAAAACCTTAGTGAAATAAATATATAAATATATCCATCATCACGTGCACTTTTTAGCTTTAGCATCGGCATTAGCAACACTAATGCAATTATGCGTACATTATTCTCAACAATCGAATATATACGTACATTATTTCATTTTAGTGCTAAAAGCAATCCTACGGACCAGCATGGAGTGGCCAGGTTCAATGAACCTCATATCCTTTTTCCGCTGTCTTCTTCATCACCTGATACACTACAAAAGCAAAGAAAGATGAGAATTCTCTGATCATGGCTCTGTCCTCACTCTCTCTTGTTGCTTCACAGTTCACCTACTTACAGTGATATTACAGGTAATATATTCTCCTTATTTTTCTCAACTAATTTATCTTTTTAATATGCAGTATTCGACATATATAATATTCGCATCTGCTTCTTCTCAGTTCTTAAATAATTTCTTGGGTCTTTTTTCTTTTTCCTTTCCTTTTCTTTTAGTTATCAAGATAGGTTTTTCAAGAATTATTAGATATATCTATCTCTAACTTTTTCTTTATATTTAAATTGATTTGAAATTGCATTAGTAATCCGATAATTATCTTATCATAATGCAGTACTATCCTGATGTTCTGAAAAACCAAGAAAAAGAAAAGAAGAATCAATTCTGATAATCAATTGGGTTATGAGTGAAAATTGTTGTAATACCTTGCAGGGAAAATATGACAGAGGATAACCTAATGTGGGCAATAATGGAGCTTGACAAAGCTTATTCTCTATCAATTATCGATAGTACTGCCCTTCAAAATTTTGGAAATGATTACATTGCCCTTCCTTTCAGGTACCTTTTTGGTCCATTTTTCTTAATTAAGCTTTTTTTCTTCTTTTTCTTGAAAGTGAGTATTCATTTTGGAATGTGGGTCCAAGATTGTGGGATAAAGATTTTGTTGAATTTGATATGTTCTTTTGATCAATCTTGGTTGATGAGGACTAAGCCCTTTGCATATAATTTCAGATTATTTTTCAAATACTATAAATTTAACATTTTCTAAATATAGAGATGGGTAGGTGTATATGAATCCAGAAAATGGAAAGTTGGGTTGTTGTCAGCAACCAGTTAATAAGTGTTATTAGGTTAAGATTAAGTTTGGGATTTTTGATTATTAAAAAACAAAGAAAAGAAATTATTGGAGCCTTAATCTTTTTTAATTATGAATTAGGTGGTATCACATATCTAATTAAAGTAATTGTGTCTCCTTGCATCACTTGGTAGAATTTAATTAACTTTTCTATTGAATATTTAATGTATTTCTTCAGTAGATGGGAGGCTACCTAATTGGCGCAAATCATATCATCAGCTATATTTTAGGGTAAGGCTGTGCAATTAACAACAGATCTGTCACAGTTAGCCACTCAAAAGAACTTTTAAAACAAGAACTTATTTGACATCGAGATTGAAATTGAATTTTTGGGAATTCAATTATAACTATGAACCAATCAAATAGTTCTTTTTTTTTTTTAACATCATCATCTCAAATAGAAATGTTAAAGAGACACTTGACGATCGTTTGTTTGCACTGAATTTTGAATGCTGAATGCTGAATCTACTATTTTATTGAATTGAATAATTAAGAAATAATATCATCGGCTTATTACTAAAAGAAATAATATATAATGTTATTTTAATTTTCATTTAGATAATTAAATCAGATAAACAACTTATTGGTCAGTTTAGACAAACAAATTTATTGTCAGAGCTGAATAAATAGGTTGAAGGTTAAGCTGAAATAAATAGCTCCTAAACAAAAGCTTCAATTATTTGATTTTGTGCAGTGAAATAGGCAGCATTGTGAAGTGGAAAACTAGCATAATGGTGCCGGCAAATCCTCATTCTGATAAACCATGTATCTGCAAGACCATTAAATATTCCCTAAAGAAGAGGGAATGCTATTTCCACTTATAAGGGAGTAGGAGTCAAGAGGACTAGAGGAACAGAGCTGTAATATATGGGATATGGCAATGTAATCCATATAGGAGAGTCCACTTCTCTTAGCATATATGTGGTGACAGAGAAGAGTTCCCCTTTCAAACTTCATTTGTGTGTGATAATAGATAGTTGGCTGTGAAAGTGACCCCACTGTCAAGTCTATCAATCTCTTACTATTGCTATTTGACATTAAAAAAAGAAAATAATAATGAAAAAATCATGTTTCAACATTATGGATAAATTAGATATAGATGAGGTGAGTGAAGTGAGACATGTCATCGTGTTATTTCTGTACTTTAATTTTGCTGTGTAGAAGTGTTTATTAATGAATTATGAACTTATGGCATCTTTTTTGTTTTTATTTTTATTGAATTAGTAAGATGAATTTAATATGGTATATAAAAGTGACCATTAACATTGTCTTTAAAAAAGTAATTCATATTTTTTATCAATTAATTTTTTATTTGGTAATAATTTGAATTTAATTATCAATTTTAATAAATAATAACTTCATTTAGACATAATAAAATTTAATTTGATTATATTACATTTTATAAAACAAACATATAAGTAAGTTGATAGCCTTGTTTTAGCGGAAAATATTTGTCTAAATTAGACTTATAGCCCTGCATATAGACCAAATTAAGAGTGTAAATGACTCGAGTTGGCTCGCAAACTGTTTGAGCTCATTTAGCAAACGAGGCTTGTCAAAAGCTTGTCAAGTCTTATCAAATTTATATATACATATAGATATTATAATATATATATTATAATAGTGTTTTAAGTTAATTACTCAACTTTCGAGCTTGAGTTTAAAATTTTTTGAGTTGAATTCAAACTTCAAGTTGAGTTCGAGCCTAAAATTTTTACGCTCATTGATTTTCAAGTTTGGCAGGTTCAAGCTGAACTCCGCACATTTACACGTTTAGACCTAACTAATAAAAAAAATCTTCTAATTATTTTTATTTTATTCTTTTTTTTTCCAGTGTATGGTAAAAAATATCATTATTTTAATAAAAATTTTTATTTTTATGTTTTTTTTGTTCATGGATAGAATCTTGGGCCCGGTCAAGGCAAGTTTATCTGCATTTTAGCCTAGCTTTATTTTATGCAACAAATTGGGGGAAATAAAAGTGTCGCAGTGCACCTCGGATTAGCAAGAGGCCCTCCTAAGCGTGATCTATGGAAACTTCTCAAGCTGACAATATCTTATCACAAGCTAATATGTAACACTTGCATAATTGTTCAATGTGTGATATTTTTTCTACATGAATATAACTGAATCAAATTCTATCGTTAGTTAAGTTGTATCAAACCAAAACTTACAGAATTTTATAGGTTTCATTACAAACAATACCTTTTGTTTTTTGGCACAAAAACAATTGATCTTGTTATTGTTCCTATCTCAGTAGAATTCAAATGGCCCAGTTACAAATAATTATAATAGGAACATCAACAACTGACACCATAAAAAATCAAACAGTTTTTGCTTACCTTTGATATAAAAGGCTTTGACTCTCTCTTCCAATGCTGACATGAATATTTAGATATGGTATAGTGATTAGTGAAGAGAGAGCTACAAAGCTGTTGTATCTGTGGGATAGCAACCAAGCACCCGAAGAAATGTTGCAAACTCCTGCAAAATAATATCCCAGCTCTGTAAAAACCTTGAAGACAATTGGAGACTTGGAGTGATGTGTAAATTGTCAGCGTCGCCAAGTTGATTTTATTTCACAAAACAAATAATGGATATCACATTTTATCTGATAAGAATGTCGATAGAACAATCCTTTGATTTTTGATCTTCAGTGTCTATGATTTGGAAGGTAAAAAAGAAAACAATTGGACTTGTTTGGGCTTCCCAACCCTGAGGAATTACAATTTCATACTAGAAAGCTATAATAAAAATACAAAAACCTACCCTAAATTTAGCGAAATGGTTATAGGCAAATTGATGCAATGTTATGTAAAAATTTCTGCTCTACTAATAATTTGATGTGGTAAAAAATAATTATGTTCCAACCTGCAGATGCCCCAACGCATTTTGCGCACGTGATTCTGCCATAGAAGCCTCAAAATCAATATAGAAAAGGTAGTCAAAATACCTGCAACGTGCATCAGCATTCAAACAACAAAGGACAAATCAACTATTACTGTAGAAAAGGAATTAGCTAATTAATAAATTCAAGATAAGAAGAATATCAGGCACTGGATTGCAGGCAACAGATCAAAAACAGTGTCATCAGGAAAGGAAAATTTTGGAGATGAGCCATGTATCAATAAAGGGATAAATTTGAAACTTTCATCAGGTGATGAAAGGATAAGGCAAAGCATCGCCAATAGAACACGATGTTATATGCAGAATATACATTCAGCAGCTTCTGCTAAGCTCTAGAAATATATTGGAGTAAAACCCAGAAGTTATAAAGTTGATTTGATTCTAACTATCCAATGTACCCCTGTTAGTTCTCTTACTGCAGGCAAAGGGATTAGCTAGTAAATTCAAGATAAGCAGAATATCAGGCATTGTAAAGTTTTAAAAATATATTGGAAAACCCAGAAGTTATAAAGTTGAATTGATTCTAACTATCCAATGATACATATTGAATGAAAGAGCACTTGATAAGAGTACCCGATTGGTTGCTAACCAATCTATAAAACAATGGGAATATACTTACTTAGCACTTCCAGTATTTGAATCATCAACAACTCTTAATGGCTTCTTTCTCTGTGGCCGGCTTTCTATCTGGGATTGAACAGAGAAGTGAAATATTTATTGTCTAATCTTTTTACATAGATAAGAATTAGAAATGATATTAGTTAAAGATACCTTTGTCAAATTTATGTCCCTTAATGCAAACACTGCCAAGGCCTTAAACAATACCCCTGGGCCTTCTTCCAAAGTGAATACAATGCTTGTCTGCAAAAAAGACACTCACATTGAAATTCTAAGAACACTAAGCAGACAAAGTAACATGTGATGTGGCTAAATGATGATTTACCTTATGTGCCTTATCAGTTCTTGGAATTATTGGATCCCTTGCAAGAACCAGATAACGAGTTACATTATCAGAGTCACCCTGTGCAATCAAGGAAATCAACAAACTAAAAAGCTTTATCGTCTGGAAAAGAAAATATAGTTAGGAAGTATTTAAACGTCATTAAGGATAACATGCATGAAAATGCAGCCACAAGTGTAAAAATAGTTGAATGAGATAAACAGGAGTTCCTCACAACTGTTGTGCTACACCAAGGATCTACTTTGAGCTCATACTTATTTACCCTAGTAATGGATGAGCCAATCAATAATATAAAAGAGGATGTTCATTAGTGCATGTTATTCGCAGATGATTTTGTTCTAATTGATGAAACTAGAGAGGAACTCAATTTAAAGCTGAAATTATAGGGGCGCACTCTCGAGAGTAAGGATTTCAGGTTAAGAAGAAGACAATATATCAATTGCGTGTTTGGCTTAAGTAAGAAGTAGGGAGGTGAAGTTAGATTAGACGTTACGATGGTGCCCAAATGCAGTCAATTTAGATATCTAGGTACAATGTTACCGAAGAGAAGTTTGATAGATGAGGATGTTATTCATAGAATTCAAGAAAAATGAATGAAATGGAGGAGTGATACAAGTGTGTGTTATGTGATATGAAGATATCTAACAAGGTGAAAGATAAGTTCTATAGGACGATGGTGAGACTGGCAACGTTATATGGGATTGAATGTTGGGCACTAAATACCCAACATGTTCATAAGTTGAACGTTGTGGAGATGCAGATGTTGAGATGTATGTCTTTAGTGGTCACACAAGATTAGACAAGATTAGGAATTATTATTTTAGATAAAGGTACAAGGAGCAAAAATTGGAGATAAAATGAGAAAATGACGTCTGAAATGGTATGTATGTGTTACGTGGACCTCTGTATACCACAGTTTGTAAGTGTAATATTTAGATAGTACGGGTTGCTAAATGGGAAAGAGGTAAACCTAGAACCAAGTGGAGGGAAGTTGTTACAGAGATTTACAATATTTGGATATTAGTCAGGGTTTAGCTGTGAAGATAGTAGAATGATAAAAAATTCACACAGCTGACTGTAACTAGTTTAAGGCTCAGTTGTTGTTGTTCTTTCTTATGTTTTGCTTAATGGAAAAGCATTATTTAGTCCCTGTGGTTTCGCTCCACTGGACAAATTGGTCCTTCCGGCCATTTTGAGTGATTTTTACCATTAAGAGAATATAAAAAGTCTAAATTCCCTACAAAGTTAAGAGAAGTCCTAAATCCTAGCCATCTAACCTTCCTCTCAAATTTAGTTCTTGAAAAAAGAGGCCCTTTTCTCATTCTTGTCTTTGTTTTTAAAATTTGATAGATGGAGTCCAAAAAGAAGAAGTAACAGGTAGCTACTTTTACTGCAAGTTGTAAGCTTTAATGAGTGCAAGAACCATGGACGTTAATTTTACAATTTGAGACCGAGTTCTTATCATCGTAAATGATTATTATAATTATATAATATATACTATTTATATATATATATATATATATATACTACTATATATATATATATATTTTGAAACAACTGAAATACTGTGGTGTTTGATCCGTGCCTTGAATTCATGTTTCTAGCACTCTATATTTAGTATCTTTAGCTCTTAGGTGTGGCTCTAGGTAATATATTAACAAAGCTCCAGTTTTTATGGTATTTGGGTTTTTCATTTTTTCTTTAAGTTAGTTTTTTATTTTTATTTATTTATTTATCTTTTTGCAAAACAACGATGACAAAAAATGAACTCAGTACTATGGTAATCTTTTTAAAAATTTTCTCTTGTAAGCTACTGCCATAGCAAATTTGGTTTTCCAATTCAACTTTAGCTCTGTTTTATTCTTAGATATTGAATAACTTTTGTTTTTGGGTTTTGATTTGAAGAATCAATTTTCTTTTTATTTGTGGTTGTTTTTGATTTCATGGTGGTGGTTGGCGGCAGATGATGGAGTGGTGGTAAGAGGGATGGATTGAAAGTGGCAGTGGCCATTAAGGGTATTTTTGTAATTCAATTTTATTCTCTCATCTTTGAATATGTTTTATGGATCTGACTAACAGTGAAAAGCCCTTTTATTTAACGGAAGGACCAATTTGTCCAACAGAACTAAATCACAAGGCCTACTTATAGGGTTTATCAAAATAGAGAGATGAGGTAGTAAATTAGTTCAAACCTCAGGGGCTATATAATACTTTTCCCTTTATTTAATTTACTAATAGCAAATAATTTAGAAAATTTTCTTTTCCAAAATTTTTTCACAAAAAGTATTTCAAGTTTTCCAATTTTATACTTTGCTTTAATTGCTTAATTGAATAGAGTGGATATGGAAATAAACAATTATATAGCTGGCCCCAACTAATTTGGGATTAAGGCTTAGATGTTGTATGTGTACATGGTAGAGAACATCTCAACTACATTTCAACAAAATGTAATCAGAAGTAGAGTCATACAGATTTCTCTTAAGAACAAACTGTACTATCTCTTGTTATTTTTATCACAACCATCATTTTACTTCCTCGTGTTAAGGAAGTAGATTGAACAAGATGACTCCGGCTTATTCAATTGTCAGTGGAAAAGGAATCGCAATGAGGACACGAAATATCAAGACCTAAACATAGACTTAAACATATCATAAAAATGTAACCTGGATTTTTTCCGCTAGTATGTTAAGCCCATATATTTCTGAAGCTCGAGCACTTGCTACAGCACCAGCATCCCTCAGCTCATTAATGGCTACATACTAAAACCAAAATTAAGTAATTATGATAAAATTTGGTGGCATGATATGTAGAAACTAAAATAAGATCCTAAATGTAATATTGATAGATAACCTGAGCAGCACCAGCAGCATCATCAACATTTTCTCTCGCAACACTTAACTTGTTCAAGAAATTGTCACTCAAATCAAGTACCTGCAAATTTAATTCTTTAAACTTTAATATTGAAAAAATAGATTCCAAAAGTTAATAACACATGCTACTCTATCATTGTCAGGAAATCTGAACTAGCAAGTGGATGGGTCACAACTCTAACGAGATAGTCATCATCCAAATGATTATACAGACAATCATTCTACTTCTTTTTCTCCAATCTCCAAACATTGTTAAGAACTTCAACTTGAATTAGTTCCGGTGTATTGAGAAAAATTTCCATTTCAAACTCAAACTGCTAGTTCTCTAATATGATAATACATCCAACATATCCTGATTCCTAATTAAATTAGGTCAAAGTTATTGTTGCATAGTTATTAATCTTATTATCTACTAACAGCAACTCTAGTTCCGGTATCTTTTACTTGTTTAATAAGAGTAGATGTGGCAAGAAATTTCGTATAATTTCCCAAGTCTAAAAACTGTTTATGTCAATGCTTAGTAGAATAGGTCTAGAGGATGCTAGTGAAACTCCATATGCATGCCTTCTTTTTGAGGCAAGAGACACGCTAAAACTATAAAAAAAATAAATAACATGGAAATTGAAACTTAACCTGTGGATGGCTAAGAACACGTCTCAACTGCTCTGTTCTGACACCTGGTATAGCCAAAAGACAGAGGTTAACAGCCAATTTTACCTCACCCACAATGTGAAGCCTATGTCGAAGGAGTAAATCATAGTTCCGGTGAATGCTTCCAGCTGCAGAACATTCAATTGGAAGAACTGCTTTATCTGCTATCCACAATTCAACAGCCTGCCAAAAGTAGTGAAAAAGCACTACAAGAATGAAAAGGAGGTCAAAAGCATTCTGCTTTCCTAATATTTGCCGTATATATGCTGGTTGAACATATAGTTGTCTTCAGAAAATTGGAATCTAAAATAATTCTGATTTACCATGAGTAATATAAAGAATATGGAATTGTTAACAGAAGCAATTTAACGTGACTGCACTACTGTACAGGGTCTTAACTTCTGCCTGCAGATTGTTACATAATTGCTATTATAAACTTCCTTGTGAGAAAGACAATATCAATGTGAAGATAATATCATGTCAACCTTAAATGCGTCCTCGAATTCGTCACAGGGCACAGTTTCACATTTAGGGTAGGCCTTAAGTGCAGCATCCTCACTGTATGAACCTGGTAGCCCCTGAAGCATTAAGCCAACCAAAAACATAAGGGATAGCTATGAGTAACTTGATTTGATTTCTATCTGCTTGGCTAACAGAAGCTAGCAATGCTTAGATAAAATTCATACCTTAAATGATATCCGCACCTTCATACGATCATCTGGATTAGCAGAAAAATCGGCTACTGATAATGGTCCTGCAATTGTTGGAAACCTAAAGAAAATGAAGTTGCAAAGCATTAACCAGCACAAAGCTGAATCCAAGACTTACCTAAGTGAAAGATAAACATAAATCATACATTACTTAGATATTATCCATTATCTTTCAGCTATAAGCATATCTCCACTTTTCCTGGTTTTATACTTCAGTTGCCTCACGTCTGTTTGTGGAAAAGCCAATGGTGACAAGTTTTCTTTTCTATAATAATAGTCCGCAGATATTTAGCAAGTGTAATCAGTTTACATAAAAAAATTACAGTGATCAAGTTAGTTGAGCTTCCAACAGTTGGCTGGGTTCTATAGCCGCTCACAAACAGAAACCTCAGACAATCGAATTCAGTGATTATAAAAAATCTACTGAACATGGTTTTTTGAGCATCTCATAGGCTTGCTCAACTTCGTAAGTTTCAAGCACATCTAGTTAATATCCAAGCAAAATTTCTAAAACTGCTTTGTATATTAAATTATTATTATTATTTTTTTAAAAAACAAACTTTGCTACTTTATTCCCTGTACAACAGTTGCTGACTTTAGTTTGAAGAACTGGCTAAGTCTTGCAATCAGCAAATTCCACCTAGAATAATCCTACCTCAGGTTTTTGACCTGATTACTACAAATAAATTCCCTTTCAAATTTAATATTCTCCCTCATTCAGACTCAATTATTTCAATGAATTTTTCAAAGGGAAAAAAAAAACTAACTTACAGAAGATTCAATGAATTAAAGCAAATTTCAAATATAGAAAACTAACTTGGAAAGGAACTGAAATCCTTCTGCAAATTTCCCGAAACATTAGCCGCTGTTTGATCAATAATTTGGCCCAATTCAGACCTTATCGTGCCAAGCCATACAAAGCTCTGCGATGTGCTAAAAGACCTGAGCCGATTCGACGGTTTAGATAAGCAGCCTCTTCTCCAGCTTAACCGAGAAACATCAAATCCGGAAACAGAAACAGACTTCAAAGCCATAAAAATCCTGTGCTATGGCTGTGGAAAAACACCAATCATTAAAAAAGGTTCTTATGGAAATGTTCTTCTTATTGAGGACTTTTGACGAACATTTATACTACATACAAAATCATGGGAGTTGGCAGATAAGCAGGTGGAAGAGCGTTTATGGTTGGTAGTGGAATTGATTAGTTGTTATTGTTGAGTGGAAACTATTTACGTGTGAAATGGAAACGGATGATTTCGTGTTGTGGTAATGTTAAATCATTTAATATTAAAAACAAGCAGCAGAACGAACAGCAAGTTATTGTGGCATGAAAGTCCTTTCTTTTTTTTTTTTTTTTGAAAGGGCATGAAAGTTTTATTTAAATTTTTAAAGTTATTAAAAGATAATTAAAGTTTTGCTACAAAACTAAAATTTAATTTAATTATTTATATATAATATTTATAATTTATATTTTTAAAGTAATTAGTGTTTTTTTATGTGTGTTGCATGTTGTTAGTATTCGATATTACTCATTGTTTACATCAATTAATTTATTCTTATACAATATTAAGTATGATTATAATTTTTCTTTTATATTTTCTAGATATTTATATAATGTTACGCTTAATCCGACGGAACTTTCAAATTCCAGGAACAGTAAACAGACTGCAAGCCAATAAAAAATCCTGTAGGCTAATGGCGTGGGAAACATATAATCATTATACGAAAGGTTTCCTTATGGAAAATGTTCTTCGACTTAAATTTGAGGTACGTTTTGACGAAACATATATCTACGGCGTACACAAATCAGTGGGAGGTGCGCAGATAACAGGTGAAAGCGGGTCTTTATGCGAGTTGGGGTAGTTGGAAGATCTGAAATTAGTTGATTATTGTTAGAGTGGAGAACTATTAACGTAGGTGAAAGTGGAAAGCAGGATGATTTCGTTTTGACTGATATAATGTTAAATCATTTAATTTATAAAAAGCAAGCGCAGCAGAACGTAAGCAGTCAATTTTTATTGATGGGCATGAAAAGTTCCTTTCTTTTTTTTTTTTTTGAAAGGCATTAAAGTGTTACTCTGATTTTAAAGTTATTAAAGATGAATTAAAAGTTTGCTTAGGAATAGACTAAAAATTATAATTTTAATTATTAATAAGTAAATTATATATTTGATAGTTATAAGTTAAATCTATTGAGTATTTATGATTGATGACATGTTTGGTTAGGTATTTCGATAATTATCTCCATTGTTTACATCAATCTAATTTATTCTTATACATAATTAATTCAAGTATGAAATATATAATTTTTCTTTTATATTTTCTATACATTAGTAAAGTACTAATCTGTGTAAGTGGATCCATGATGATAAAAATTATTTTATATTTTTACAGCATCAATATTCTTTGTAACTAAGATTTGGGGTAAGTATCATACGGGACATAACATAAAGTCAAGTATTATTGAAAATAAAATAATTTAACGACAAAATTAAAATAAATTATTAATTGAATTATAAGAATAGATATTCACAATTCAAGTATATTTAATAAAATAATTATAGACGACAAAATGAAAAAATTATTATTAATTATAAGATTAGATTTCAATTTTTTTTTTTTGAAGATAATAAAGTTAAACTTTAATTAGCATCAATTTTTTTTAAAAAAAATTAAATAATATAATTTTATTGAGTGTGATTTGAGTTCGTGAAAAACTTAAATATACATAAATAGATATAAATAAAAAAAATTCAAAATTTTAAAAATGATATATATATAAAACATGTGCAATAGTATTTTTTATAGATTTTTTTTTTTTTACATTTCGAAGTTTATTTTAAAATTAAAATAATAATCTGTTTTTTGAAACAACTAATATTGTAAATAATCATTGATCCATACATTCAAAAAGAAAGTTCAATTAGAATAATATATTAAAATAAAAATTTATCTTTCAAAAAATATAATAATATTAAAATAATATAATAATATCGTTTCAACTCAATCTAATAAAAATAATAAAAAAAATATAAATTTATCAAGTTATTGAAAACTAAGTATTTAATAAATCAAAAACTATTATTAATCAATTTCTAATTTTTAAATTTTTACTAAAATTAATTACAGGTAATCTATTATTCTCTCATTTTCATTTCTTACATATAGGTATACGGATAAATATATATATAGATTTCAGCATGAGTGCTACTTTATATATATATATATATATATATATATATATATATATATATATATAATATCTATATATTCCTTTATTCCTTAAATATTATATTTTTCTTTTTTTACAAATTTTGGAGCTTTGTTTTCTTTCTTTTTTTTACTATCATTTTTTCTTTTGTTTTTCTGATTTAATTGGCCATTAAAATATATTTTTTAATTTAATCATATTTATATTTAAAAAGTTGCATTGATAATGTAACTTTATTTGACAATTGAATTGAACAAATTTAATAATATTTTTTTATATATCTTTATATCCGAAAGCGTTTAAATTCTTCATTTTTATCTTTCTTTAACCATTATTTTGAAGTGGGATTCACAAGTGCTTCTTCTTCGATTCTATTATTATTTTAGTTAAAGTTATTTGTATTTATTATTATTTTTGTTTCGTTATGCAGGGTTCGGATTTGCAATGAAATTTTGCTCTATGCTATACAATTAAAATGGAGGTTTGTTAATCTCCTCCCTTTTCTTTTCTTTTTTTTTTTTTTTCATAGTATGTTCAAAAGTTTGCAAAAATTTTATTTTGATAAGTTACTAATAATGGTGTCAAGGCAAGAGAATGTGGATATAACTGAGGTATATATTTGTTAAATATACACTACAAAATGTATATGTTAAATATACATTAAAAATTTTTTAGTTGTTAATTTTTTATTTAAATTGAATTGGATAAATTAAAAATTTGTAATATATACTACATAATGTGTATGTTAAATATTGCAAGAATATATTAAAATTATAAACAATGCTTTAAAACAATAATTAATATATTAATCATTATAATGTCTATTATCTATAATATATAATATATTTAATATAAATAAATAAATTAATTACTTTATTGAATTAGATTTTTAACTAATATTATTTTAGAAATTAATTCTCTTGTGGTTGATTTGTGCTGTTACTTTCTTAATTTGTCTGAAACTTAGTGGAACAATGATAAGAATATAAATTTATTAATATAAATGTTGTACATTGTAACAAGCCTATTTTTCATGCTTTTATAAATGGAAATTTCAATTGATATATAATTGCTTATTTTTTTAGTTTTTTTTAAACTAATGCAATAATAAATTTTTTTTATTTCAATTGACAAAATATGGAAACCAATATTGATTTTTTATATTTTAGTAATATAGATAATTTATAGTATTATTTTATATATATAATATTGAGACCGCCAAAAATGCACCCTACTAAGTTTATAGATCGGCAAAAATACCATTAACGATTTTAAATTTGATAGATTGAAAAAATAAAGGTAATTTAATTTTGATTGATCATATTAATTTTTTATTTAAATTTAAATTTTATTAGATATAATAAAAAATTATATGATATATTATATAAGGTATATATTAAATAAATAAAAATTCATATGGATAGTATTATAGTAGGTATATAATTTAAATAATGGTAAGAAATAAATATTCTTTAAAATATTTTTAATAATTTTAATTTTATTGATTGAAAAAATAAAGGTAATCTAATTTTAATTGGTCATATTAATTTTCTATTTAAGTATAAATTCTATTGATTAAACTAAGAAATTATATTATGTACTAAATAATATACATATATGTGTGTGTGTGAGGTAAGAATGTAATATTTTTAAAGATTTTAATTTTATTGGTTGAAAAAATAAATTATAAAGGTAATTTAATTTTAATTGGTATATTATAAAAATATAATATATGTTTAATTATTGTTTTTAATAAATCTTTAATTTGATTATTTATAATTATTTCTTATGACTAACTTATTTTAAAAAATAAAATTAATTAATATTTTTATTAGGGCATATATTGTAATTTTTATTATTTGATATAAAATAGAAAATAAAATTCATTAAAAATATATAAAATATAAAATTATGATATAGCACGTATATTAGAAAATCATATCATACGTTTGAAAGAATTTTCTTTTTAAAAAAGTAACTGTAGAAAATCATATCATACGTTTGAAAGAATTTTCTTGTTAAAAAAATAAATGTAAAAATTTAATTAGATAGTCACAGATTTTAGGAAAAAGTAAAAAAAAAATACTAAAATTATAAATGATGCTCTAAAATAATGATTAATACATTTAATTATTATAAGAAAAATAATTAATTCATCCTTAAAATTTAACTAAACTAACTAATTTACCATCCTATTTTGTTAATATTAATTAATAATTACTGAGATTTAGCTGGAGTTAGACCTTTCATTTCTTCCGTCCATTTTGTTCTGATTTTGTCAAAAGTTAAAAATAGTCCCACACTTAAACAGGAAAAGACGTAACTAACCTAGACTACTATCATCTCCTTAACTCCCTACTCTGCCTCTGCGAACAGCGGCAAACCACCACAATGCATGCTAGATCTGGTCCGATCATCCTGCCTCCACGCAAGCTAGCAACGGACACTCTCCACCTCCACCAACACCTAGGTCTCAGTCTCAGTCTTGGTCTCGGTCTCTACCTTCACCTCCACCTCCATCATCACCTCCAATAAGCAGTCCTCCGCCGCACCAAGGCATGCCTTGCGTACCAGCGCCTCAAAGAGGGATCAAGCACCGCCATCTCCAACGCAAAAAGATCAAAATGAACACAGGGAAGAAGATAGTATTGTTGTTTGTGGGTATTGCTGCAATTTTGCAGATTGGAGTTGTTGGATTCTTGGTTTTCAAAAGAAGGCAGCTTTGGAGGATTCTTGGTTTGAAATAAGTTTTTTGTTCAAATTCTTTGGTGGCTTGTGGGAGGATTGGTTTATGAACACAATTGGAAGATTGATGGATAGCAGGTGGAGAGTTGGTTCCTCTCATTCGGGTCCTTGTGATCTTCTGTAAAGAGGTATTTTGTTGATTGACATTTTGTCCATCTTTTTCTCTTGGTCTTGGACTTCTTTCTAGTATAGTTTTCCATACGGCTTATAACAAGAGAAGAGTCAACCCATTTGTCATCATGACACAGACTGTGCTAACATACACGTAAACAGATTCTGGAATCATGGAAAATTTTTTGTGCCCGATACCGATTTCAGGAGTCCCTTTGTTCTTTGTTCAGAATTCTTTTTTTTTTTTTTTTCGTTTATATGCATTTAATGATTTGTTACATTTAAATTTATTCTTGCGTTTGTTCTGTGTTATGGATTTAGCTTTTGTTTCACTTACCAGCGTAGGAACTAGGCAATAATTCAGAAACATAAATTAGAGTAGCCAATATATATGAGTTGATTGACTATAAAAGCTGCTGTTAAAAGTTTCTGTTGTTGTCTTTTCTTGTTTAATTCATCATTTTATTCGTAACAAAAATAAGCATTTTAGAGGCTATTCTTGTCTTTTCTTGTTTAATTGTGGGGTTATTTTTGACTTTTCACACATTTAAAAAAAATTGATGAAAGGAATGAAATGTTTAACGGAAGTAAACTTTGAGAACTATTAATTAATATTACTAAAATACGAGGACGAGTTAGTTATATCGGTTATTTTTTCTTATTATAAGACCTAATACCGGTAACTCATATTTTAATAATATAGATCGTTTATAATATTATATTATATATGAAAAATTAAGTTAATTAAATTTAAATTGTTGTAAAAAAAATTTAAATTGGTTGATAATTAATTTTATTTTTATGAAAATTTGATTGTCAAATTATAACAGTGTCTTATCATTATAAATATATTATTTTCTTAACAAGTTATTTAATTATTTATTTTATTACTTATGGATTGTGACTCAATTGACAATGCAAACCGAACATGTAGGAAGAGTTATTGAATTTGATCGCCATTAAACGCACTTGCAAGGAGGGGCAAATGAGTCTTAATTGTGACTAAACTTTGAGCCGGATTAAATGGTCCCTGATAAGAAAATTCATATACTCTTGATTTAAACCAAAAAAAAATTAATTATTTCATATAATAAAAAATTATGTATATAAATTAAATTACATTTATTTATAAAGTGTAAAAATCAACGAATACAATCATCTCCGTTCGTTCAAATTACATTTATTTATACCTTCTTTATATTTTAAAATTAATACATACCTCTCTAAATTTTTATTTCGTCATACAATCATCTCGTTTCGACTTGCTTTTGCCAAATGGTAAATGAAATGAACATCTTGATAATTGACAAAATTTTTCTTTCACAATTATGATTTCTTTCCTTGCTTAAGTCTCTTCTTTCGACAAAGTTTGCTTGATTTCAGAAAGAACTAGAGCCGAAAGGATCAAATCTCTCATACGTATTGACAACTTGAACGAGACACATGCAAATCGAAGTCATGGATGGTCATCGACTTCACAGATTTCGGATGGCATGGGACAACCACTAAAACATTTGCATCAGCCAATCGAAAGGGTCCAGGTGGACAGCCAGCTCTCTTGTCCCTCATCTTCTTTGTTTTTGACCTTAATTTATTAGATAGACTAACAGAAAATTAGAGAGTTTTTGAACGGAATGAGATAGGCACCTCACAGAATGTATATTTAGGAAGACATATTACTTTTGAAACATAAAGGAGGCGTATGGTAATTTCACTATAATTTAGGGAAATATTTTTTTTTTCTGTTAAATAAAGGGAAATAATACTCCTTTTTGCTTTTAAGCAATTGAGATCTCACTGAGGGTAGTATCGTGCATATAATCAACCCTCGCTGCAATATCCTTATTTTCGAATTATTATCTGATAGATACAAAAATGATAAATCCAAAAATTATTAATTTCACATTATATTAGTATTATATATCTCTAAACTTTATAGATCTCTACAATTTCATTTTATTTTAATTTTTTTTGTAATTTTACCATAATTTTAAACTTTTGTAGCAATAGCACCCTCAATTGCAATTAAGAATATAAATATAAATATAAATATAAATAAAAAATATTTTTATTTTTTTCAATAATAATAATAAATAATATAATTTTAAATATCCTTTCAATATCAAATTATATTCATATATAATGGGTGATACATTTATAAATTTAGAAATATGATATTTGAAACTTTATGCAATAAAAATACTTGGAAAAGTTATTTATTTATTTTTTATTCTATGTTACCAATTCAAAGAATTATTGCAATTAGGATTTTTTCATTCTTAAAATATAGATGATATAAAATAAAATAACTAATTAAAAATTATATTTTATTAATTCACATGCTTGATATTTTTTTGATAATTAACAAAAATTTGTTATTAAATTATTTTTTTGAAATTATGTTATTAAATTATTAAATAGCACATTTATTTTAAAAAAATAAAATTTAATATGTGAGAAATTATATGTTAAGACTAATAAAATTTTTAAAATTTTCATTTTTCAAATTTCTATAGAGTCACATAATGGTTTAAAAAATTATGTAATATTTTTTATTTAATTTCATTCTTAATTGCATTTAAGGGTGCTATTGATAAAAAAGTCGAAATTAAAATAAAATGAAATTGCAAAACTTTATAAAATTTGAGGTATTTTGATTCATTAGAGCTGTGGTCTCATGATTGTCCTCTTCTGTCAGCTTATACAGAAGTATTTGTTGTGCAGACCAGACCTTATAAACAATCTATCCAATAGTCTAAGCCCAGTTTCCATATAGGCTTTAAATGGTAAAATAACCCATCAAGAGTTTGGACTTCAAATTTATGAGTTTCAAGGATTAAAGAAGCTGAAACTTACATGTTGTGTGGAAGACAAAGAAGGGGACATTTCGCTCACTTCCGCTCCACACACAGCTCCAAGTGATGAAAAATTATCCAAAAGCAACAAAACCATTAACCCCATTTCCGTATCGCAACTCCTTTCCTTACGCCAATTACTCCCTTCTTTATACACCGCGAAACCATGCTATTAAACTTCTCTTCTTCTTCTTCTTCTTCTTTTCTTAGATTCACCAACTCTAAATCACCCATTCTTGAACCTTGCACAACTTCTTCTTTGAAACCCAAAATCCATTTCTCCGCCTCTGTCTCCTGTTCACAATTCAGTCTTAACTTCAAAAACCGATTTTTCAATAGACATTCACTTGGTAAAAAGCTTGATTTCAGGGCTTCGGCTGTCTCTGGATTTGATGTGGGCAGTTTTGAATCTGTCCTAGAAGCAGCTGGTGTTTTAACAGCTATAATTATTGTTCATGAAAGCGGTCACTTTCTTGCTGCTTATCTTCAAGGTATTCATGTAAGTAAATTTGCTATTGGGTTTGGTCCAATTTTAGCTAAATTTAATGCCAATAATGTAGAATACTCTGTTAGAGCTTTTCCTTTAGGTGGATTTGTGGGCTTTCCTGATAATGATCCAGAGAGTGATATTCCAGCAGATGATGCGAATTTGTTAAAGAATAGGCCAATATTTGATAGGTTTTTAGTAATATCAGCTGGTGTTATTGCCAACATTATATTTGCATACGTTATAATCTTTGTTCAAGTATTATCAGTTGGTTTGCCTGTTCAAGAAGCCTTTCCTGGGGTTCTTGTGCCTGAAGTTAGAGCCTTTTCTGCTGCTTCTAGAGATGGGTTGCTTCCTGGTGATGTAATTCTTGCTATCAATGGTATTGAATTGCCGAAAACTGGCCCAAATGCTGTAACTGAGGTTGTTGATGTTATTAAGAGAAATCCAAAAAGAAATGTGTTGCTTAAGGTAGGGAGAGGACAGCAGGATTTTGACATTGGTGTAACCCCTGATGAGAATTTTGATGGAACTGGTAAAATTGGAGTTCAATTATCACCAAATATGAAGGTTACTAAGATTATGGCGAAAAATGTAATCGAAGCAATTAATTTTACTGGAAAAGAATTTCTAGGTTTGTCATCAAATGTTTTGGATAGCTTGAAACAAACTTTTCTTAACTTTTCAGAATCAGCTAGTAAGGTTTCAGGTCCAGTTGCTATTATTGCTGTTGGAGCAGAAGTTGCAAGGTCAAATATTGATGGACTTTTCCAGTTTGCAGCTGTTCTTAATATTAACCTTGCTGTGATAAACCTTTTGCCTTTGCCTGCATTAGATGGAGGTTCCTTAGCCTTGATTCTTATTGAGGCAGCTAGGGGTGGAAGAAAGCTTCCTTTAGAAATTGAGCAGCGGATTATGTCTTCAGGGATCATGCTTGTTTTACTACTTGGCTTGTTCCTTATTGTTCGTGACACTTTGAACCTTGACTTCATTAAAGATATGTTGTGATTACTTGCACCGGTGTACAAGTTCAGAAATGCGTTTGATTGATATAAAGTCAGTTTGTCATCTGGTTGTTGATGATGGTGATAATCGACATGTTTGGTTTGTTCCCACGAAAGTGATGGATCAGGTACTCATGACTTCTCGTTCAGAATTGGTTGCTTCTTCCTTTGTAGATCTTTTTATAATTTTGTTAGTCATACTTTCTTAAACGACAATGACAATCTTAAAATGGGTTGTAAACTTAAATTCAAAAAGATTTATGAAGATGTCTATATCAGTTACATTCTTTTATAATTGATCCTTGGCAAACATATAGTTACTGATTATTTCTATAGCGTGTAGTTTACGACAATCTTTGTTTGGTTTTGCATATTAGTGGATTTTAACTTATTTTTGCATTCTAGCAGCAAGTTCAGTGCGTTGATGATGATAAATTTTTGCTAGGCTAAATTATACTAGAAATGCAGTTGCTTATATTATAGTATATTTCACCACAGCTTAGTAAACATAGCCTAATGAGGTCTTTGTCCACTATTTGCTGTGGTCACTATACTTCAAAATTAGTAACTCAGTCCACAGAGATTTGCTAATAATGTGGCAATCTTCTTGAAAGGTTAATCTTTGAGGAATAAAATGTCTTTTGCTTAAGTTTATGCACTTACTGCCAGGTTAAGCTTGCGAGAAGATTCAATCTTGAGAATACTGAGGGGTGATCAAGTTATTTTTGAGATTTTCGAGGTCTTTGCTCGAAATGCGAATCAATACTTCAATAAGTAAGATTATAAAAGAAATGTTGCACATGGGTTCATACCAAGTGTATAAGCTTGAAAGATTCATCACTATGGTAAAACCTAAATCAAAAATAAAACCTTAAAATCTAGAAAAAGAAAAGGAATAAATTGGAGAAACTCAAAGCAAGAAGAGTGGCGGCAATCTCCTTCCATTTCTTTTCCTGTCAGTTTTTAACCTTTCATTTCATTTCCACACTCAAGCCTCTCTCTTCCAAATCACAACCCATTTGCATTCACATCCTTATTGTATATCAGAAGAAACATAAATCGCATTAGGAAACCATAAAACAAGAATTTTGGTAGGATTTTAGCAACAGGGGATTTTGGTGACGACCATAGCTTGAAGAAGCAATATTAGCTTGAAGAGACTTTATTCATATTTGTATCAAATTTAGGTGAATTCGTGATGAACGAAACATGCCAGTCCATTTTGATTTGAAATCCCTGTATAGTTGGGTTTGTATCATCTAAATCATTTTGCTTTTATACTCCTTTCATCCAAACACAAAAATGAAAAATAACCAAGGAAGAAAACTAGTAGAATAGTCTTTTAAAAAAAAAAAAAACAAAAAGAAAAATAGTAGAACACTGTTCTGTTAGTTCGAAAATGATAAGACTAAGAAGAGTTTAGGAGGAGAAAAAGAACTAGGTGAGAGAAACATAAGAGAAATTAAAGAAATTCATAGGTTGGGAAAAGAAAATGGGTTAAAGATGACTTGAATGCGTAAAACAATTCACTTGTTTATATCGATTCTCGTGTCATTTACAAGAGTGTCACCTCCTATTATAGAAATACTAAGAGTGCCTTCCAAGAAAAGTAAAAGTCATTCTCAGATATTTACTATGTATGTCAAATTATACAAAAGCCTATAATACCTAAGATATGCACAATATTTACAAGTAGGTTTTAAGCTCAACTAGCTCTCTTGGCACATTCCTGATCATGATAAATTTTAGATTCATTATGCCCTTTCAAGCCTCTGATCTAGGTTTAATTTTTGGATTAGTGTCAACAATGCTTCTGCACATGAACTTTGTGGCTCGAAGTCCTATGTGCATTATGAGCCAACCTCAAACTGTTAAGTGATATAGTCGATCACTTGAAGAATCACGCTTCTCTTGAAAGTCTTCGCCTTTTAGGACACCGTCACAATGACGGCTAAATTCACCTATATTTCTTACTCCTTTCTTTTGCCTTTGTCCTCCAAAGTCGATCACTACTAATCTTTCTAATTATCCTTGGTCCTATCTACTTGTTAACCGATCTTGACGTAATGGCTATCTGTTCTTCTGGATCTGAGTTTGAATATTTGGCTAGTTGAAATTTCTTGATTAATCTAATAGATGACTATTCCTTGTGGCAGTTCGAAGAGCTTCTTCATATCAATTTCGAGACCTGTTCTCAAATTCTTGGTCCGATTCTCATGAGGAATGTGGCCAAACCTCTCACCTGATTCTCTTTTTACTTCCCGGAGAGTTCCTCCACTCTTTGGCTTCTTCCTGTTAACAGGCATCTTTTTTGTGGGAAAATAATCTATGCTTTTGACCTCTAACAAACCCTTTCTCGAGTGCAAAAGTACTCTCAATTGCGAGATGAGGCAATACTAGATACCGTCCTTTGTATAAAGTTTGATATGAACTTGAAATTTTTCATAGTTCGCATTCTTGGCCAGTTATAGGAGGAGCACCTTTAGAAGCTACAGACTCCGGCCTCTCAAATTACCAATCTGAGGGCTGATTTACAAGAGGCCATCGGTTTAACTCTCCAGATTGGTAAATGACGGGGAGGTTGCCAGCCTGCGAGCTTCCCTTTAACAATGGTCCTCTCAAGGAGTGGTTAAAGTAATCGAATGCAAAGCCCTCCGAGCAAGGATCTCTAACTTTGAGGCTGAACTTTTAGCCTTGCAAACACAAACATATGGCATCGAGGGTAAGATAGCCGCTTAAGGGAGCATTGCAAATAAGGCGAAGAAAACCTAGGTTGACTATGTACGGAGACAACCAAGGACAAGGAGTTGGCCAAACAGAAACGAGCCAATATAACTTTGCAGAATTTACTTTCTTCCAGTATTTCTTAGTTGTACGTTGGGCTTCTCTTCTTTTGTAATTATGCTTTAATGAACAATATTATTTCGTAGAATATTCCTTGCCTCTTTTGAAATAATATTGCATAAGTAATTTACTTGTAATCATCAAAACCGAATTCCTTTCGGTTTATCATTGTTTGAGTCGGTCGCTGCAATTTTTGGTTGATTAGAAGTTTTTTCCTTTTTGCGTGAATCGACCAAGATTGAGATATTTTAATCCGGATCTCTTCCATGATATTGCGCCTAAATGTGAATTGGGATTAATCGTTGATCATACCAAATTATTTTTGTTAATACTTGGCGCTCTCGACTGTTTTCATTTAAGGAAATAACAAAGTCAATTTCTAAGTGAACTTTTAAGATTTTCATTAGGCCAGATTGTAGGATTCAGAAAGATATTGTCTCAATAATTCACGTATGTCTATTTTAGTCTTGGTCGGTTTATAAGGATATTTATCATTTGTTAAGTGAGAGTTAACAAAGTCGAATATTTAAGAGTAATGGTGTTTTTCTAGGTCCCTTCGTGAGTTTGAGGTTCCGATCGTTGTTCTACCATGTACTCGCTACTTGGTTTAACTCGGGCATTCGTCTTTTTGATCCTGAGATAAGACATTCTCCCCAAAAGTAGTTGGATCGATCGCCCGTTGGACAAATTGGGCCAGTTATTTGTAAGTGAATTTTGACCAAGTCATGGTCGCCTGTCCATTCTGCCACGACAGTCCCTAAATGGCCGATGCTATTATGCAAATCATAATGGCAGTTTGTATGTCCACTCGGACCACCCGTGTTTCTTCGATTTCCGACCTAAAGACATTCTCAAATATCTAGTATGAATCACCCGTAAGGCCGAATTATAGGCCTTTGATCGGACGTATAAAACTATTTGAACTTATATATACTACATTGTCAATCGATTTCATCAGAATCATGACATCTTAATAATGAGCGTGCTAGAAAAGTTATTCGATCTAAAAGTGAAATGGGTTCGTTCGATCTAAAAGTGTAATGGGTTCGTCAATTCTACGTCTACTAGGAGTGCCTGGGGATAATCTAAAAGCGAAGAGGATTCATCAGTCCTACGTCTAATAGGAGTACCTTGGGATAGGATGGATCATAGGAGTACCTTGGGATAGGATGGACTAATGGATCGCATTAGTTCGAAAATGAAGGAGAGAAGAATAAGAATAATTTAGGATGAAAAAAAAAAAAACTAGACAAGCAGAACGAAAGAGAAATTAAAGAAATTCATAGGTTTGGAAAAAAAAAAAATATTACAAGAATATCACCTCTTATTTGTAGGAATTCTAACGATGCGACTCCATGAAAAGTAAAAAGTGTTCTAAGATATTTAAAATATTATGTTAGATTATATAAAAACCTACAATACCTCAGATTTGCATAATATTTACAAGTGGGTTTTGGGTCCAAGTAGCTCTCTTGGCACATTCTTGATCATGATAAGTTTTATTCATTATGCCATTTCGGGCCTCTTACGTGGGCATAGTTTTTTGGTCGTGTCAATAAATACTTTATTATTTCCCTTAATACTTTCTCCCTTCATTATTTTTTTTTTCTTTCTTTTCCAAACATAGTGTTAATTACTAAAAAATAAATCTTAGGCACTAAAATAGAAAATTGGTAACATTTAGATATTAATAATATAATTATTCTCACTTTATATATAAGGATGAGCATTTGTCATAACCAAACCGAAATTTTTTGAAATAAAAATTGAATGAAATCAATTAGCGTATAAAATTGGAATCAAATCGAATTGATTCGATTTTATTGGTTTGCAGCTCTTTTCCAACATTTGAGCCTTTTTTCAGGTTTCATGAAAACCAAATAAAACTAGAAAAACTTCAATGGTGAGAGTTATCTGACGAATTGAGGAAAACTTCAATGGAGACAGTTGACTTGCCCTCCCTGTCCTCTTCCTTAGTGGTCAACTCTATATCTCACCAGTGCCACTGATGTACAAAATGCCTTTTTTTTTTTCAGGGAATATAGAAATTGCCCATTAAAATATTGGTTAACGAAACAATTTCATTTTAATATTTCTTTTTTATCACATTAAATGGGCTGTGAGTTCAGCATTTGGTTAAGATCAAAAATTAGAATAACAGTCCAGACAGACTTCACTTATGGTATAGTCTCGTACTCTTTTAAGTTCAATTTTCATTAAGAGAAGAGTTTTCACTAATTCCTTTTTTTTTATTACCAAAGTATTTTATACTCTACAAGTACGAGAATATTTCTTTTCAGAGTTCGTAACTGCATTTCTCTGTAGCTGTTTTTTTATAAATCGAATTAATAACCTTATAAGGACTATCAGAGCGGACTTTAGTACTTGAGCTATTTCAGCAAAAAAAATTTTTTTTGATAAGCCAAGAACTTGGTGAAGAGGAAAACAACTTGAGCCCAAGATAACTGTACCTGAGCCGAATA